AAAGTATCCAAGTTATCTGATGTCTTTGACGTAGTATGTAGACCCCTCTAGAAATGGCATAGGGTAAATTGACAAGAAAACCATCATATAGCTTTCTTTAGCAAAGGGTTAAATAATACATAGTAAAAAAAACACTCCACTTCCACTTCAGACACTCCACTTCCACTTCAGAGTGTGATTTCTATGTCCTCGTGAATGTTTTGCCGGTCAACATGGCCAAATCGACACTTGATTTTTATTTTGATCAACAAGCCATACATTTATTAAGAGGTTTGATGGAGAAATATAGAGAAAATAAGGAGGATCTACATATGATATTTATTGATTTAGAAAAAGCATATGATAAAGTTCCAAGAGAAGTGCTATGGAGAGTTCTTGAAAAGAAAGGAGTTAATAATGCTTATATTCAAATCATTAAAGATATGTATGCAGGAGCAATTACTTGTGTTCAAACACAAGGTGGTTTGACCAAGTATTTCCCTATTTCGGTTGGGTTACATCAAGGATCCGCCTTAAGCCCATATCTTTTTGCTTTAGTCATAGATGTTCTCACTAGACATTTGCAAGAGGATGTACCTTGGTGTATGCTTTTTGCTGATGATATTCTTCTTCTTGATAAGACTAGAGAAGGAGTTGAAAGTAAACTTGAATTATGGAGGTCTACATTAGAACGCTTGAGTAGATCTAAAACGGAATATATGGAGTGTGATTTTAGTAGTAATAGACCTAGTGAGGGGATTGTGACTTTGGGAGATCAAGTCATTAATAAGAGTACACGTTTTAGATATCTTGGATCTATTGTTCAGAGTGATGGTGAAATAGATGGGGATATTATCAGCAAAATTCAAGTTGGATGGTTAAAGTGGAGGAATGCATCGGGCTTGTTGTGTGATAGAAAAGTACCCCTCAAACTTAAGGGAAAATTCTAAAAGATGGTAGTGACGCCTGCAATGCTTTATGGTGTTGAATGTTGGCCATTAAAAGAGAAGCATAATATTGAGTTAAGTGTGACAGAGATGAGGATGCTCAGGTGGATGAGTGGCTTTACCCTTAGAGATAGGATACGAAATGAGCATATACGTGAAAAGGTTGGAGTAGCTCCAGTAGAAGATAAGATTAGAGAGAGTCGCCTTAGATGGTTTGGTCACATAAAACGGCGGCCTTCCAATGACCCAGTTAGGAGAGTAGAGGTATTAGATTTACCTTATGTTAAGAAAGATAGATGCAGACCTAAAAAGACCTGGTTAGAAAATATTAGGAATGACCTTTCTTTATTAGATTTAAACGAGAATTTGACCTTTAATAGGACACAATGGAGAAAAAGGATTCATGTAGCCGACCCCACGTAGTGGGATAAAGGCTTGATGTTGTAACAAGCCTAACATTGTTATTTTCCAAAATAGGTTGAAGCATTATTCAGCAACAGGCAGTTGTTCCCAATCCCCATGCAATTATTGAGAATTAACCAATAGATGGTTTGGTCACATAAAATGGCGGCCTTCCGATGACACTGTTAGGAGAGTAGATGTATTAGATTTGACTTATGTTAAGAAAGGTAGAGGTAGACTTAAAAAAACGTGGTTATAAAATATTAGAAATGGTCTTTCTTTATTAGATTTAAATGAGAATTTGACTCTTAACAGAACACAATGAAGAAAATGATTCATATAGCGACCCCACATGGTGGGATAAAGGCTTGATCTTGTTATGATAGTTTGTTGTAGTGCTGGAGTTTACTTACGACAGCTCCATAGCAGACATGCTAAGCCGAGTCCATCTTAAACAGTTACAAGCTATCTTAGAAGACAAGTAAATTTAGATGTATTACAATTGTCATCTAGGCCTGTTGAACATACCAAGAGCTTCGCACAGATGCAAGACTTGAATGATTATGCTCGTCGGAAACTTAACTGCATATGAGAATTAAATCTCTTAAAAAATGCATAGACGGTACCAGAAGTTTTAGGAAGAAAGACGGGCAATATCAGGAGTTTGACTAGGTTAGTCCTGAAATAATTCCTCAGGGAACTACAAAAGGTTAGCTATTCGATGGATAAGTCCATATTTAGTATTACTGAGCATTTATGAAAATGAATGCATGATGAGGACATCGTCAGAGATTTCGACACGTGTACCATCGGAGACATCGGAGATCGACGACTACGATATGGAGCCTTATATTTTTAAGTCATTTATGTAGTAGTTTATTTTATTTTCAGTTTTTACTGTTTTACCCTTATGGGTGATCATTTGTTGTTGAGCCCCTAGGACAATTTAGTCTTTATTTCTTTTCTTTTTGGTGAGACATATATATAGGTCATTTCTATTGTATTTGGAGATGATGAATATTGATATGAAATTTCAGCTTTGGTTTTGGATCTCTTTGTGAGTTCTAGAGTGAGTGGTGAAGCCTAAGAAAGGCTCAAAGAAATACCCAACAGCCCTCTTTGTGAGAGCTCTTGGTTCCTATCATCTTCCTCCACCTCTTCCCTTCTCCCCTTGCCGTTGGCTCCCCCAAACTGGCCACCAACTGACCGGCCAGCAACCTGCCCCCTTCCTGATGTGGCCGGTCCTAAGACCGCGGGCTATGTGCCCTGCGTATTGCTTTCTCCACTCTTAGCTATAATTACTATTTCTATTTCTAGTCCTATCAGCTGCCAGTTAGTGGCCAGCTCAGCTACCTTTAGTAACTAACTTTTTGTCTTATCTAGTATTAGTATATCTGTAGTGAAGCAAAGGGAAGAGGTAGAATACATGAATACAAAAATCTGAATACTTCTCCTCCTACATTCCCTGTTCTCCTCTCTTTTTCCTCTCTGGTTCTTCTTCGTTTCCTATTCTTTTCTCCTGTTTTCTTTGATCTTTGCAGGTAGTTCCGGTTCCTACACCACTTCCCCTTTTCGTTAGCCACTGGATCCCGCCCCTCCCTCACCCGTCCACTGTTATTCCCCACCTCCTCCACCGAAATCAGCCCCACCCCGACCCCTTGGATCCTCATCTGCTGGCCCCCATTGCTCCTAACATTTGAATTTGAAATTCATATTCAAAGAGCTATTATTAATTTCCTAATTTATCTTGTATTATTTAGAAAGTTTTTAAATGGAATTCAATGTGAAATTTGAATTTCATATCTCTTCCTAAAAGTTTACACCCAATTATGAAACTACTCAAAGCTAATTAAATTTGAATTTAAATTCAGAATTTGATTTAATTACGTATGCAATCGATTGGGCTCCACATACATTGAACCTAGACATATTCCCTCAACCCCTATGGCCGGCCCCCTCTTCTCTCCCCCTTCTCTCTCCACTTTGCCACCTAAGCAACAATTAAACCCCTCATAAATCCCTTAATAACCGTCGGACCCCATTACTCCCTTAATTGTGTTAATTTGAATTTCAAATTGGCCATTCCCCTTAATGAAAATCTGAAATTAAAATTCAAATTTTCCCTCTCATCACCTTTCCCCCCCCCCCCAAGCTACTTGTTTCAACCCAAAGGACCCCAACCCTAGCCGCCCCTCACCCTCCCAAGTCTTCTCCCTTCATCCCCTCACCTTCTCCTCACCAATCTCAAGAGAGATCCTCCCAACCGTCACCACCACCATACATGGTCGATCCGGAAGTCGACCATGGTTTCTTTTTTGATGATCAAGGACGAACCAACATCCTTGAATCTCCTTTCTTCGCCGTGAACATAGACGTGGACTCTTCTGTGGAGGATTACTTGAAGCGCGTCCTTTTACGTTAGAACCTTCCATCGAGGAGCATATTCCTCCCGGACGTTGGATACTCACTAGTCATCCCGTGGACTCCCTGTCGCCGGCTACTTCTCCAACAGACTATACTTTGGGCACAATTTGTCTCCTAGTGGCATTGCTCGGTTTGCTCTCAATCTTCCTTCGTTAAAGCCCCCACCGTCAAGAGCGTGAGTGAGGGACCCAAGGTGAAAATTCTACTTGTTAACCGTGAATTATTGTTTCTTCGCCATAACATTATACTCTTTATTTTATGTTGTTAACTTGATAGCATCCCGTTAATCTAGTTGTAATTACATGCCTTGCAAAGTTTCTAATTGATAATTCTGAAAGCCTAACTTGGATAAGCATCGATTCTATAACTAGAAAAATTTTAATAATCTTATATTAAAATCTCCAAGCAGTTCTTGTTCCTTTGCATGGTATCACATCAATGCAATTTGGAAATTCTAGGAAAAATGAGAATTAACATAGCATTTGATGTCTCTGACTTGGCAATCTACCATGAAGCAACGGCAGTCTCCATAGACCATCATTTTTCTTCACCGCTACTGCTCTGGCCTCCATAATATTCTCTGTGCCATTTCAAGTTTTCAACTCATCATTTTGAGTAATTACTAGCTTACAGCAAGAAATAAAAATCTGAAAATTTGATGTTTGAATTGCCCCCATAATTCAGGCCCTTTCTGCATAAAATTAGCTATAATTTTCGGTCTCATGAAATAATTAGTGATTTAGGGCTGCAAAAGAACATTAACTAATCATCTATAATCCTCCCGGTTAGCATTAATTAATCTGAAATCATAAATTTATCATCCTACAGCTGTCCAGCAAACTTACCCAATAAACCCAAAGCATGCAATCAAAAAATTCAAGCAACAATCAGGTTGTAATTACACTAAAGCACATTATAATCACAAAACCATCTAAATTTCTTAATTCGCATTGCGCTTACGTCCGCAAGGTAGATGAGACACATTTTTTATAAAATGTGCTCATTTCACAAGAAATTCTCACCAGATTATATGCAAATCAAATTATGAGAAACTTCTTGACAAACACAGGGTATACTGAAAAAACATCTAGCAATATATTGGGGGATACACATCAGATAATTTACAAACATGGTAAGCAGTAAAGACAGTTTAGCCAGAATTGAAAGTTGCTCCTACAGGTGTCAGCAAATTATTAAGAAATATAATACAGCAGAAATATAATCATGCCAGCATTCAAGGGGCGTTACCTTCTTGATATCCCGAATAGCAAACAGGCCAATACAAACCTCTCCATTAACCATCCACTGGTTGCATCAAAGTTAAAACAGGTTAAATGAATTAGCATAATAACACATGAAAAAAAAATTCAAAATTCTCTAGGTTGAACAAATCTTCAAACCGAATCAAATGACACCTAAAATGCATAAAATACGATTTAGTATAATGTCAAAATCAAAATGCTTATTACTTCACATTTTGTACGTAAGATAAAAAGAATGGCATGAAAAATAACCAACTTCAACGTTTAGACAATTTTTTTTTTATTGGACAAAAAAATTTTGGGCCTAGCTAGAGAGAGAATATTTTCAAAACCATGAACGGATATAGTATTTATTATGGCAGATTTGACTATTACCTTCTCCTGTGAATATCAAATAAGGCATTTAGTAAAACCAAAGTTCTAAAGCTCGGTTTTAATTCGGAAATCAAATATGCATACACAGTTTTGGTCACTACAGCTTTGATTGCCATAGCAGTTTACTGTTTTCAAGTACTATCGTTTTGTTTCAATTACATTGTATTGTTGGCATGTGATGTTCTCCTTGTTTCACTTCTTTGATTCCACTCCTTAATGGAGGGTTCTTCATGTATTTTCCAGCACGTCTCATTTGTGCGTCTTGACTTCTTGCAATAAATGCACCAAAGTGAATCTTTATCTTTAATTTTTGTGGAGTTTTTACATTTTCCTTCCATGATGCTTCTATGTTCATCGCCATTGTTGAACTTTCAACAACCTTTGGCTCCAGCATCACTCCCAGTCGGCTTTCTTCAGCGCGAATGAGAGAAATGGTTTCATTTAATGATGGTTTCTCCTCTTTTCCAAGGATCCGGACTCTCAATTGATTAAATTATGCATTTAGTCCTACAAGAAAATCATAAACTCGATCTTTTCAATAAAGTTCTTTAGGATAGCAACATCTTCTTGTCTCAGATTTCTGTCCACAACTCAGGGTTAGGCTTCGTCTTCGCTAGGTTCCATCAACTCCAGCTTTAGGCTCCGTCTGATAAGGCTTCGTCCCGCTAGGCTTCGGCTCGGTCCTTCTCGCTTGACTTCCAATGGATTCCTCTTCTTTACTTCCTTCGTGGCTCTGATACCATGTTGAAATTAGGGATTTGAGAGGGAAAAATTGAATTTTATTACAGAAATTCTTCTCTATTTATAGATCTATACATCATATCAAATAAAGGAATACTTAAATTACAAAATCAGGTATTATTGCCCTCATAAATTTCTTTCTAAATCAGTTGTCTCGCTATGGAAGGAAACCGGCATGAGATAGGCCGGAATCTCCCATGGATTAGCTATTCTTGGCCATGGGATCAATACGAGAAGAGAGACTGAGATTTAACACTACCTAAACTGTATGAACAATAATTATATTTTCATGGGCTTCAGATTCAAGAAAGAAAACTCAAAGTCGTATAAGTTAAGCACATTTAAGCTTCATCTCAAAGGAGGCAAAGCTTATCGGACAAAAAAAAGGAAATTGGGTCTGAGCGGCATATGAAAACTTTCAGATAAGAAATGCCAGCATGGATAATTATTTATGAAGGCAGATTACACCAACACCTTGTTAGACGATGAAGTCATTATGATGCGATGAGCAAATTAAGCACATTGCAGACGTAGCCTATTCAAAAAATTTGCATGCAGAATTTTATAAAAAATCCCTGCTGAAAGGCTAGAGTAAAAGAAATTGTACATCTAACAAAACTTCCATTTGGTTCCTCTTCACTTTCAACTTATAGATTTATAAACAGTCAATTTTTTCATATGTTAATAACATCCTTAAAATTAAATTTACTTTGCTTAGATCTAATCAGCATTCAATTCTTCACAAGAAAAAATTATCCTTATTTTTAGATTCATCGTCATAATCATTAACATCATCCCAACTATTTGGTTCACCTTTATGAATCATCATTTTTCAGTCATTCCTCCTGTGTCTCCGAGAGGTGCGTCGTTTTGGCGAGATGGGGCCGGCTTGGAGAGGAATGTCGGTTTCTCTGAATTTTTTTTTCTTTTTGTTATTATTATTATTTTTTTTTTGTACAGTCAACAATGGCATATTGTAAATTTCAAAGAAGCTCATTTCTTCATCCGTCGTATAACTCATAATAGGTGGACCATTAATTAGGAAAAGCAAAATTCATGAAGATATAATAAAAAGTTTCATGCGGAGAGAGCATAACGTACTAGGCATCCCCCTTTAACAGCAACAACCATTAAAACAAAGGTAAAAACTATTTATTATGCAAACAACACTCCACAAATGATAGATAAGATGTATACAGGTTAACACTAAAAGTTAAATTGAAAAACATGCAAGTGAAATCAATATGCTTGTCCAAGACAATATCATAGCAGAAGCACTTAAAATTAAATTAAGAGTAAACTATATGATTGTTCATTATCCTCCCACTTTAGCCAACGGTGACATTTCAATCTCCCTTTCATGTCGCCCATGCAACAATGACATTATAATAGCTCATAATTTTCATAATCAAGAGCAGCACTAATATCCCAACTGAAAAAAATCTCTACTTTTTTAGTGCACTATGTCATTGAAAAAGGATAGAACAGTGAATCTGCCAACTCAGGCGCACTTACAGCAACTACCAGCTAATGCCAAAAGAAAAAAAAAATTACAGATATAGCCTCTTAACACCAACATGAATATTTTGAGGAAGTCCTCCAAAATAGATAGAGGAATCTCTAACATCTTGTTAGACCCGCCCCTAGTGGACCGGTCCAGCCGGCCCCTTAGAAGGGGCTGGTTCACATTTACAGGAGGAACGACGATAGCAAGAGAGAGAGAGAGAGAGAGAGAGAGAGAGATGGGGTGGGGTCCACTTGATTTCAAATTCAAATTTGAAGCCAAAGGAAAGACAAGGGCCTTTAGGTCTTTTTGTCTTATTGTTTTAATTGTATGCCTTAAGTATCGGAGGGAGAATAGGGTTATGGTTAAGTTTGACTATTATGTTCTTGTGAGGGTTCTTCTTGGTGTCTTGGACTCTAGACTCATCTAGAGATTGGGAGAGAACGATCCTCCTCTCGAAATGAGGATCAATTCTACCTTTATTTTCGTTGTTTCAATTAGGTCTCACCTTTGCAATCCAATTACAATTTAGAGAGTTTTCCACCAGATTTTGTGTAATCCTATTGATGTTCCTCTCTATTCTTGTTAAGGTTTACTTGAAATATTCAAGTATTTCCTATCAAATTGGTATCAAAACAAGTCTTAAGACCATCGGGCGCTGATTTTTTGAAATTTCAGTGGCGAAAATTCATCCGAAGGAAGGAACCCTTGCTAATTTTTTGATCAAAATCTAAAAAATTTGATGGCGACCAAGAAGGTAGATGCGTTGGAAGAGTGTTTTGAAGGAGAGATGAGCCAAATAAAAGTCACGGTGGACAATCGAATTTCATCCGTAGAAGACAAGGTTTCGTCTGTGGAAGACAAAGTTTCCAATCTTCATTTGATGGTGAAGATGTTATTGGAAAATCAAATCCAAACGGCGGCATCAGAGGCAAAGGAACTAATGGGAAGAATTATGAATTCTGATTTTCGTAGGAGGGAAAGCGGTGTATAAATCATTGAGGAGAAAGGGGCAAGGTGAGGAGAGAGACGTGGAAATAGGGAGCATAGAATAAAGGGTGCTGGTTGGGAGACAAAGGAGGAAAATTATGATAGGAAGGGTGCTAATTTTGGAGAAATGAGGGAAGAAAGTGAAGAGGGGTTTGAAGATGAACATGTAAGGGAAGATCAGAGAGGCGTGGAGAGAGCAAAGCACTTGGGAGAGGAGAATGTATCGAGGAATACAGGAAAACGGGGGAGAGCCAAAGGTGAGGAAGCTGAATATGCTAATTTTTTAAGAGGATGACAATTATGGATGGATCTACAAGGTGGAGAGGTACTTTACAGTCAATGGGTTGTCGGATGAGGAGAAACTGATAGTAGCAGGCCTATGTTTAGAAGGGAAGTTGTTTTCATGATTCCAATGGAGGTACCAAAGGAGACCTATACGGAGCTGGAGAGCATTCAATGACTGTTTATTAAAACGTTTCCAAACAGACGGAGGAGGGGACTTCTATGAGCAGTTTATTGCACTGGTGCAGGGCGGATCAATGGCAGACTATCAGGAGGGGCTCGAGCACCTAGCCATTCGCGTGGAGCAATTATCAGAGACTACATCGGAGGGAAATTTCATGAAGGGGCTCAAGGCAGAGATCAGAGCGGCGGTGAAAGTCATGATGCCTCGTGACTTAAGAGAGGCTATGAAGTTGGCACAGTTGGTAGAGAATCAGAATAAACTAGAAAAGGGAGCCAGGATCAGTAGCATAGGAGGCGCTTACAGGATGACGACCACCCACTTAGCACCCAAAGGACCTGCAACAGGAGGATTTCGTGAGGCCACCAGGGAGAAGACAATAGGAGGAGGGAGCAGGGGAAATTACAGAAGGCTGACAGAGAAGGAGATACATGAGAAGAGTGCAAAGGGGTTGTGTTTCAGGTGTGATAAGAAGTACACTTCATGGCATAGGTGCAGGGACCGACCTCTTCAGGTTTTCACCATCTGTGATGAAGAATAAACTGAGGGAGGCGAGGGAGAGGTAGAGGAAGAGATAGAGGAGGAAATGCATCTGGATATAGCAGAGGTTTCCTTGAACTCGATGGTAGGATTCACCGTGAATCATATCATGAATGTGAAAGGGGAGATAGGGGGCAAGGAGGTGATGATTCTTATTGATAGTGGGGCTACCCATCATTTCATTTCTACTCAGGTCGTCGACCAACTGGGAGTGAAATTGGTGGACATCGGTTGTTATGGGGTGATGATGGGTACATGAAAGGTGGAGAAAGGCCAAGGGATTTGTAGAGGAGTGGTATTGACTATCCAAGGGATTCAGGTGAGGAAAAAATTTCTCTCACTAGAGTTAGAAAATACATATGTCATCCTGAGGATTAAGTGACTGCAAAACTTGGGGGACACCAAGGTCAATTGGGGAGCACTAACAATGGAGCTGGGAGTGGATGGAAGAAAGGTGGTGATCAGGAGAGATGTAGGGCTATCCAAAGCTATGATGTCACTCAAAAACATGGTGAGGAATATTCAAGAGGTGGGGGAAGGCTATTGGTGGGGCTGCACATCTTAGAGGGAGTTAGATTAGAGGAGAAAGGGGAGATACCCTCTCCATACATCCATTGATCCAACAATTCCAGGAGGTGTTTCAGACGCCTCAAGGATTGCCTCCACCAAGGGAGCAAGAGCATGTTATCACCTTAAGGGAACGTGTATCACCTATCAGCGTCAGACCTTACTATTATCCTCAATTTCAGAAGGATGAGACTGAGAAGTTGATTAGAGAAATGCTGGATGCGAGGATTACCAGGCATAGTGTTAGTCATTTTTCCAATCCAGTATTCATCATTAGTTAAGAAAAAGGATGGAAGCTGGAGGTTTAGTGTGGACTATAGGGAGGTGAATGAGGAAACTGTGCCAAACAAGTTTCCTATACCAATAATTGATGAGATGAGTAGGGCAGTGATCTTCACCAAGATAGATCTAAAGTCAGGATATCATCAGATCAGAATGAAGAAGATGGATGTGCCTAAGACTGCTTCCAGAACTCACGAGGGGCATTATGAGTTCCTGGTGATGCCCTTTGGCCTCACTAAAACCCCTGCCACATCCAATCTCTCATGACCAAGGTCTTCAGACCTTACCTCAGGCAATTTGTCTTTGTGTTCTTTCATGATATCCTAGTGTACAACATGACAGAGGAAGAGCATTGGGAGCATTTGAGGATGGTGTTAAAGGTGTTGCAGGAGCATAAGCTAAGGGCCAACCTGAAGAAGTGTTGTTTTGCCCAGACTAATGCGGAGTATTTGGGTCATATTATGTCCAAATAAGAGGTGGCAGCAGATCAATCAAAAATTGAGGCTATGTTGAGATAACTATTACCTAAGAAACTGAAAGAGCTGAGAGGATTCTTAGGACTGAAAGGATACTACAGGAGGTTCGTGAAAGGGTAAAGCACCATAACATGGCCATTAACAGAACAATTGAAGAAGTATGGATTCCTATGGGGGGATGCAGCCACAGCAACTTTTAAGAGCCTGAAGAAGGCTATGACGACTGTACCAGTCTTAACACTACCAGACTTCACTCAGGCGTTCGTAGTAGAGACAGATGCTTCAGTATATGGATTGAGGGCAGTGCATATGCAAAATCATCGACCTATTGCCTATTTCAGCCAAGTGTTGATAGCTAGGGCCAGGCTGAAATCAGTTTATGAGCGGAAGTTGATGGCCATTGTACTAGCTATCTAGAAATGGCGGCCCTACCTGTTAGGTAGGCATTTCGTTGTCAAGACGGACAAGCAGAGCTTGAAGCACTTGTTGGAGCAGCGGATGGTGACAAAGGAGCAACAGAGGTGACTATCCAAGCTGCTGAGTTATGATTTTGAGATCCAATATAGACCAAGAGTGAAGAACAAGGCAGCATATGCCTTGTACAGATGTACAGGGGAGTTGCATGCGACATCAGTGTCAATTCCATTGATGTAAGATTGGGAGGCCATCAAGGAGGAGAGTGCTCGAGATGAGGAGTTGGGGAAGATCAAGGCTGATTTACTGAGGGAATGGAGTAGCCATCCGGGGTATTCTTTGGTGGGGGAGAGACTTTTGTACCATGGGAGGTTTGTTATACCTCAAACATCAGTCCACATACCACACTTGCTCTAGAAGTTCCATGGGAGAGTTGCCGGGGGACATTCAGGGGTGCAAACGACCTACATGAGACAATCTTCAGAGCTGGATTGGAAGGGGATGCATAAGAATGTGGAGGAGATGGTCGTCAGGTTTAGTTAGAGGAACAAGTACATGGCAATGTCTACAGGAGGATTATTACAGCCACTTGGTTTACCAAGTCATGTATGTGAGTAAATGTCCATGGATTTCATTGATGGGCTACCCAGATCAAAGGGCTTCACAATGATCCTGGTGATGGTGAACCACTTGAGAAAATATGCTCATTTTATTCCCCTACGACATCCATACACTGCAGTGATAGTGGCAACAGTCTTCATTAGAGAGGTGGTCAGACTGCATGGAGTACCATATGATATAATATCTGGTAGGGATAAGGTGTTTCTCAGCCATTTTTTTGAGGGAGTTGTTCAGACTTCACGGGACAGTGTTGAAGAGGAACACTGCCTACCAGCCACAAATGGATGGCCAAACAGAAGTGGTCAACAAGAGTTTGGAACTTACTTAAGATGCTTTGTGTCGGGGACGCCCAAGTTATGGGCCAAATGACTAGCATGGGCGAGTATTGGAACAACATCTCTTTTCTTTCTGCTTCTCAGATGACCCTATTTAAGATATTGTACGAAAGGGAACCTCCTCACTTAGTGCACTATGGACATAGCAGCACTCCAGTTTCTTCAATGAAGGAGTACTTGGAGGAAAGGGATAGAATATTGGAAGAATAGAAGAGGCATATGCTAAGAGCTCAACAGATTATGAAGAATAAGACATATGAGCATAGGAAGGACATCCAGTTCGAAGTAGGGGAAAGGGTGCTCTTAAATCTTCAACCTTACAGGCAAAGATTAGTAGCCAACAGGAGAAATGAGAAGCTTGCCCCAAGATACTTTGGGCCATACGAGATATTAGAGAGGATTGGAGCTATGGTTTATCAGCTAAAACTACCTCCAGCAGCAACGATACACCCAGTGTTCTAGGTATCTCAGTTAAGGAGGGCAATTGGAGATTTTGTAGCAAGCTCTAAGTTACCAATGACACTAACTGAGGATTTAGAGGTGATGTTGGAACCCTTGGAGCTGATAGGGGTTTGCCAGAGAGAAGATGGAGCTAAGGAAGTGTTGATCAAGTGGAAGAACCTCCCGAACTACGACACCACATTGGAGCCATATGAGAGGGTGAAACATCAGTTTCCTTGTTTTCACCTTGAGGACAAGCTGATTCTTTGGAAGGGGTCGGTTCACGTTAACAAGAGGAGGGGCAGTGGCAACTGGCAAGAGGGGGAGAGAGAGATGGGGTGGGGTCCACTTGATTTCAAATTCAAATTTGAAGCCAAAGGAGAGACAAGGGCCTTTAGGCCTTTTTGTCTTATTGTTTTAATTGTATGCCTTAAGTATGGGAGGGAGATTATGGTTAGGTTTATGTTTGATTATTGTATTATTGTGAGGGTTCTTCTTGGTGTCTTGGGCTCTAGACTTATCTAGAGATTGGGAGAGAATAATCATCCTCTTGAATTGAGGATCAATTGTATCTTTGTTTTTGTTGTTTATGTTAGTGTTAGTTCTCTCTTTTGCAATCAAATTATAATTTAGAGAGTTTTCCACCAGATTTTGTGTGATCCTATTGATGTTCTTCTCTATTCTTGTTATGAATTATTTGAAATATTCGAATATTTCCTATTACATCTATAGACCTATCTCCACCAAAAACTAGTCTTATAATAAAAATGTCATGTGTGTTGCTTGCAATATTCCTGCAACACCCAGAGCTGTTATAGAAATCAAAAACCCCCCATCTCACACACAAGAAGTTTCCACCATAAGGTACAAGTTATAGAAAGAATGACGTTTACCCAAACAGCCTGCCCAACTCTATCCACTTCAGGCCATTTATTAGGTGGTGCAGAGTTGCCATACAAACAAAAACTCTTTTTGAGCTCAACTAGAGAATTCTCAACAAAACTATGACCAAAAAAATAAATATTAAATACAGAGTGTGACGGGACAACAAAAGCATATTAAAGATAGGGTGTATATGCCCCAAACATGCTAGCTAGCATAAAGAACTAAGGAAAAACTCACCTTTTCAGTGCGACAATTAGGATCGCAGCTGTGATTAACATAACGCCCCAAGTTTCCCTTAGAACATGCATCTATCACCTGAAAACCAGAGAAGATATAACCAATCACAAAATAGAACATTGACAATCATATACAACTTCTTGTTTATAAGCAATAGTTCTTTATGGAAAGAATATGTTCGCAAACAACATAAAATAGAAAATATTGTGGAGCAGTTACATGCAGCTAAATTATCTTTATGCTGAAAATGCTTAGAGACAAAGTATAGTATGCACACAACTTATCAAAGATCTACTCCTCTCGTACTGACAAAAAGGAACTAGCACAACTAGATAATGCTTGTGCGTGATGAGAAAAAAAAAACATAAAAACAAAACAAAATACAAAACAAGACTGCAACAGTATCAAAATTTCTCCATGATAAGATGCCTTTAAAAAATAAGATAGCATCAATAAACAGCTTACATCAAGAACTAATAAACCCTGTGAACCTGCAAAAGATTTACAATATCTATGGCAATTGGAACAACTACTCACGGGCATGAAATCAAGTCCCACATAAAAGACAGCTAAGATTGAGAATAATTAGGCAAATAAAAAAGTTGTGATATACTTATCAGGTTAAAAATATCATATTACTTATGATGTGATGCAAGCTTGGAGTTACACAAGATTAAAAAGAGAATTTACTATTAGTTTAACCTGTATAAAATCATGCATCCATTCAAAGTTGGTTACAAAAAATCTCCGTGTTCCACTTGCTTAGGCAAAGAATTACATGGAAATTAACCAAAAAAATTTAATCAAATACAAAGGGGAAAGTAATGTTAAAAGCTTATAACTTGAATCCAAAGATTAATAACAAGTTGATCACCTTGAGACCTTTCTCTCATTCCTACGAATCTAGGTTGAGCGGAGGAAGATCGTCCACGCTAGAAATGAGGTCGCCAAAAGGAGGGAGGAGCCGAGGAACGTCGTTGTTGGAAAGGTCCTCGGAGGTGGAGGTGGCGCGGAAGGATGACCGTGGATGATCCACTCGTAGTATGAAAATTGGTCGTCGACGGCGTCCACAAGGGTGGGGAGGATTCGATTCAAATAATCTTCAATGGTGTCGTCAAAGCCAAATCCAACGTCGAAGAAAGGAGATCGAAGAACGTGGATGGCTCCGTAGATGTCGTATTCGAGTCCGTGATAAATGGCGGGATCCGCCATGCAACATGGGCTTGTAGATGAGAGGTCACGAAGAAAACCCAAGAGAAAAGAGGGGGTCGGTTTGGAGAGGAGGGGAGGAGCTAGGTTTAGATCTAAATCTGAAATTATTCTCAGATTTTAGGAATTTAGGAGAGAAGTAATTTGAAATTTGAACCCCAAAATTAATTGCAATTAATACCTTAATGGGGGAGTAATGGGAGGGAGCCCAATAAGGAGCCGGCGGTATGGAGAGAGAGAGAGAGAGATGAACGGTTTAGGAATAAAACTGAAATAAATTTCAGTTTTAAAAGTTTAGAGGGAAAAATATTTTGAAATCAATTTGGATTTCAAACATGGAAGAGGGAATTAATTAAGCAATCAATGGGCACCCATCCTAGGGGCCGGCGGCATCAAGGAGGTGGGAGAGGTTTGGAGAATGAGGGGGTTTCCAAATTGGGATGATAACTAGGAAAGAAATTCTAATGAATCAAATTCAATTTGAATTAAAAATTGAATTCAAAAAAAAATTAAAACTTTCCTAAATTGGGCTTTCCTAATTTGGAAAGAATTTGAATTTTGAAATTCAAATTTCAAAGAAGGCTAGGGGAGAGAGCAGTGGCGGGAGGATGGGGGGAAGAGGCCGGCGGCAAGGTGGCCGGCCGGTGGAGCTAGGCGTTGGCGGCCGGTTGGGGGCTGCCAGGCGGAGCAATAGAGGGGTAGGTTCTCTAGTGCTTGAGTTGGATTGTTGTTTGCATGGTGAGAAGGTGGAAGAATAGAGATTACAAGCCTCACGACTCCTCCAATAGAACTCACACAGAAGTCCAGGAGAATTGAACTCACAAGAGATCAAGAAAACATGAACTCACAAAGAGAACACAAAGAGAAGAATTTCATTTCAATAATCAATAATCCTCATACAAGATCAAGAGCCATATATATAGGCTCTACATGACAAACTAATACAAAGACTAATACCCTTGGGCTACAAAAGCAATCAACTACCCATAAGGGCAAAAGTGGAAAAACTGAAAAGAAATACATAATACATGAAATGCATACAAAATAGGCATCAATAGTAAAGGCTCTCCATCATGGCCATCGATCTCCGATGTCGTCTCGGATAAACGCGCCGAAATTCCTGTCGATGTCCCCCTCAACTTAGCATGGATTTTTTAAACTTTATCATATAATTAGCCTCAAATATTAACACGGAACTTGAGATGGGCAAACCAATAAAACAAGGAACAAGAATATTTCAATTTTTGCCATAACACGACGTAGTTGATGGGCTAGGAAACTGAACAGTATAAATTTTGCAAGAGTTGCAATAAGATTCTATTGCTCCAAGAATGCTAAGGATAAAGAATTTGTTTCATTTTATCAACTCTTTCTGATCTCAAAGGCTTCTTTAACCAAAAGAAAGAACAAACTTCAAACACCCTGGCGACACAAATTCCACTATAGTGACCACATTACAGAAAACATTACTTAGAAATTAAAAAGGATGGCTCATACGAAAATAAAATTCTGACCACATAACAGCCGTTTAAATAAGATGTTCAATCATTCTTCTATGAAAAACCTACATTTTTTGTCAGTTAAAGCCACACTCACCAAGGCTTCCGTATCTTTTCTTACTTCCATCTACCACCCCATCGATATTAGAATCCCTATTGCCTACTCATCAATTCACGAAGCATATAACTATTCTATAATTATCATTCTTTATAGTGTATGTTTTTTTTAAAGCTTTCGTATAATTGTATTAACTACAAAAATGTTGAAATGAAAATCTCAACCAATTCTCTCCAATTCTGGCCAAGGTATCAAAGCCTTTGGATTTTTTCTTAAAAACTTCCATAAGATACAGCCTTCATTGTTGCATTGACTGCAAGCTTTCATTTATGTTCTCTTTCTTCCTCTTTTTCCTCTATTCTTATTACTTCAGTTTTCATCACTGCATTACAACAAACATTTCCATTACTGCAACATTACACATCATGTCGACATCTATTCGTATTCTACTTTAGTTTCTTTATCTCTCTATAGATACTTAGATCACAATTTTCCCCTCTATGGACCAAGGTTTTAAAGGCGAAATTCGGAATCGAGGCATTTTTTTCTAAGCGAGACGAGGCGTAAGCCTCGAGGCGATCGAGGGGCTAAGCCTCAAAATTATTAAATATTATTTAAAATTTATAAATATAAAAAATAATAAAATATTATGTCAACTATGAATTTGAAGAATTGTTTTAAGATAATATTACTGGAATAGATTTAAAAAAACTCACTTAAAATAAAACATCCCCTTAGGATTAAAACCCAAAGCAGGCTCATCATCACTTTGATTGTCTTCAGAGAATCTTCATAATTATGTTAAAGTCTTCTCCAACTCTTCTCTCATCTATAATATTTTTTCCTTTATCTCCTATATCAGTTAATATTTCATTAGCTCTAAAATGAAATAATAGTAACATAACAAAATAATTCATTATATTTAAAGAATACCTTTAAATTTTTTTGAAACTCCAATCTCACTTTGTTCTTTCTTTTATATATTGGGTAATTGCTTCATTGTCTTCTTCATGACATGACTTTCTCCTTCTGCTTCAACTTCAGATACTACAGCATTCTTAGGAAGTAACCCATTCACTCATCAGATTGTAACTCAATCAACAAGTAAATGGTCAATTTCATTCTCAATATTTCCTTGATTTTGGCAATTTGAGATGTCTATCTTTCAGTTTTTTGTTAAACATAACATAAACTAGTTTTGTCATTTCGATCTAACCGCCAATCGATTTCTTTCTCTTTGTATGAATTTGATTGAATATGACTCCAAATTACGCTCACATGAGAAGCCCGAACACGCAGGCTAAGAAAACTTTAACTGCAAAGCTTTTCAATTCGAACATCAATCTCAAACTAGCCCAACGAACGTTCTACATGAAGTCAAACATAGTATTTTATTGTTGAAGTTGAAGACTTAACATAAAATACAATTAAAATTATAAATACAAAAACTACAAACATACCAGGAGTCTGTTTTGAGCATGCTTATGTGCTGCTCTAAATCCAAACATTCTCTTCTTCAAATGAAAATCCTCAAGTTGATCATTCACTTTGAAGTGTCTTCTTCAGAAATGAGTCTATCCATACATGCATACAAACTAGTTTTCAGCCTCTTTGTCAACATGAAATCCTATTATCTAATGAAATTGGGGATTTAATAGTACCGCAACAGCATGTAAGTGTTGGTGTAATTGTCGATCCCACTTTTCATCTATAATATCTCAATATTCTTTGTAGGCACTTCTTGACCTCCCAATTCTTTTGCAATGTCTCTTTAGCCATATTCCATTGCTTCAAAAATTAAATCCCATAGCGGCGCCCTCTCACCATCAACCATTCTAAGCACCTCTTACTAATGGTCACGTTGTCTTCAAGCATAATTTGTACTGCGCCAAATAAATCGTCTTTCATAACAATCTTTTTAACTTGTTTTTCCTTCTTGTTTTTTGACCCATTAACTTTTATCCATTCTTCAAAAGCAAACATTGCTTTCAAAGGTTGTCTTATACTCCTTGAATCTCTAATTAATGTTAAATATGCAGTAGCAATCTTGTAACAGCATGTCTATAATTCCTTGTCAGTGAATTTTTCATCAAGCTGAGTACCCAAGAATGATTGTATATAAACTTACTAACGAATTTGTCCTTTAATATGACTGATTTATGTGTAGGCAACTATCTCAACCTCTCAAGCATCAAGCCAATACAATGTGCCAGCACAAGGAGAGTCAGTAAAGGTGAGGCCCTCTTCTCCATTAACATTCTTCCTGCAGCTTTGTATGCACTTGTATTATCAGTAACACCTGTACTACTAAA